TTAAAGGCAACTCTAAGTGGCAGCACGAACAAGGTCTCTCATGCCACCTAGTGGCGTAATTTTATGGAACAACGACAGATGAAATAGTTTTATTTAAAACTGATTTTATAATGTACTTAAAAAATTTGTGTACTTATTCCGGAAATTATTTTAAGTTACCGATTCGGTATCGTAGTATAGGGATATATTATGAACTGTGTTTTAATTTTTTTTACACTAACCATTCCATCCTGAATCTGTTCTCATCCCCTATCAGATATAAAAACACAAGCATTAAAAACAAACTAATATATTTATCTGTTCTGTTGTGTGGGTTTGAAACTTGATGTTACTTGCCAAGAGAATACCATGATTAAGGACTATTCAGAGCAAAGTGCTGAGGAGATGGAGCTAAGTAAAAATAAGATTACATCGAGAAAATGCTGTTATGTGAAATGATCATTAATAGATATATGAAGTTCTAATGCTACATACTTTATAAGTAGCAAGTTCACATCTCCACACACACACATTGGTTTACTGGAGAATATTGTGTATACAGTGTATAATAATTTGTGTTTAATGCCAAATATTGTTTTGGTTATCAAATAATGGAGAATGTAGTATGCATGTAAGTGGAATGCGTACAAAATTTTAATCAGTAAATCTAATGTAAAAGAAGTCTTGTTTGGAGACGTAGGAGTTAATGGAAGGATGCTGCTAAAGTGAATATTAACTTGACTCTCCATATAACAGTTCTAGAAATGTTTTGAGCAAATTATAGTATTCTGTATTTGTTTTTCAGGATGGTTTCGAGGTTTTTCTACAAAAAATCGTTCAATCAAGGTATGTGCATTCATATCCATTTTGAAAGGTACTGATGTTTTATCAGAATTAGTATGCAGTGATACTGAGAGAAATGGAAGATTGCAGATTATAGTTATTATTGTGCTACATGGATGTTTATTTCAGAATTGCTTCTCTGTTATGATCTGTATCATTAGGGCTTGTGTTTTTACAGGGCATATTTCCAGCATCATACATATACTTGAAGCTCTGCAAGATTGATAATGAAGGGTAAGTTACATATTTATTTTATTTAAGTAAAATCATATTTTCCAGAGATACATATACTGTTGAGAATTCACAGCAGAGGAATGGTATTCCAAATATGGAACAGTATTATTCCATTTTACAACTGTAATGTAAACATACAAAGAGGGATTTTAGGATTTTGTATGTTGACTGCCACAGTAAAGCATATAGTAGCATCATCTGTTACTGTGATCTTTAATGTGCTATGTGCCTGTCATCTTGTATTGCTGCATGCATTTATTGAGTAGATAATTTTAATAAATGGTATTTATGTGCAACACTAGGAGCCCAAAAACCACATTTTCTTGCTGATATGGGGTACATTTTGTTTTTTAAACTACATCAAGGGATATTTGTCTGTGCAGGTTGTTTGAATCGGTAATTCCCATCGAAGATCCAGTTGTCCGAGAGGTGACGCTGGTTCTTCGAGAATGGGGCAACATCTGGAAGAGGCTGTTTGTGGTGAGTATTTCAGGAAGTTATTGAAAAGAATAATACATGATGATAAGAACTTTAGAATTTCCTGCCCTGTGTCAAAGTGTTTGACACTATTCCATTATGATTTTTGCTGTTGTCTGCAGATTTCTTCCACCTTCCGACTGCCGTCCAATCATTTTCAAGTGTTTTCATGATAAACTTGCGTTTGTAAATGGAAAGATTTATAATCAAACGATAGAAAAAACTTTAAAATGGAATTTATTACGGGAAGAAAAATTTTCGTAACTGATTTGGAATACAATAAAAGAAAAATTATCAGCCAATAAGGGCTAAGCTTTATTCAGAATGGAATTCTGACTTAGATTTATTGGGTATAATTGGTGCATATTTCTATATTCTCTTCATAAAGGACTGTAGACCCTTGTTCTATATTCATGTACCAGTACGACAAACATTTGGACACTGTACTATACATAGCTGTGGAAACTTAGAAAAAGTCCTTAATGTTTTATTTATGTTTATTACATAAATGGTGTTGCATTGAAATATATATTGTATAATCATTTTAGGACCGGGAAACGTACAAATTCTCAACTCTGTGGAAAGTTATGCGTGAGCTACTTGACTGGAGGCGCCAGCTTCTGACTGGGACACTGACACAAGACCAAATGCGGGAGCTGAAACTGAAGATCACGTCGAAGATAGACTGGGGAAACAGGTAGGATGTGATGACTCTGTTTTCTCTTTATAGACGTAACAAACACTAACCCTTCTTTCAGCTCCTGTCCCAGAAAACTGATTATTTGGGGACTGAGTATACAGATTGATTGCCAGTGGTGGCTCATAAATCCCATCAAAATGTGTCAGGCTTGAGTACTTGGGTATAATTGTAACAAATTAAAATGTATGATATTAAGAGCATATTAAATTTTGAAAGCACTTGCCACTATTGAGTTAGAATTTTTGATCTCGCACTGTCCTGCATGAAAAAGGACAGATCAAAGTTAACAAAACATAAATGAAGAAGAGCCTACCATTGAGGTGTCCAAAAGCCATCTCTCATCTTATGTTTCCTCACCAAAGTTCTGCATGTGCTTTTATTTCTCCCATGTAACATGCCCTTTGCATAGGAAAATAGGACGTGAAGAGTTGGATTGAATCTAACTAGCTGTGGACAGGTGTGGACATGATAATGAAACTTTGGGTTCCTTAACAGCAAAAGTTTCTTGATAACCTGAGAAAATGCTAACGTTTTAAGGAAGACCATGCACCAAGGTGTCAGTCAATATTATATGGGATCCCTTTTTTATTATAATTTTCATATCCTTAAAATTGCTATGTAAGTCTGGAATTTCTGGCATAAATTTATGTGGGGAAAAATAAAAACAAATTATGTTTGCTTTATGTTAAATGGTTTGATTTTATAGGCACATATACTACTTGGACTGCTTGGGAGGGAAATTTGTAAATATATATATGATAGTTTGTAGTGAATTATGTAAGGAGCTGCTTTGAGGTTCCCTCTCTTCATTGGTTAGGATAACTGAAATCGCACAAGGGACAGGCTTAGAAATTGCGGAAGCTACTGCTGTGTTGTGGATGCTATGGGTTGTGATGCCTTTTAGTCTTATTGGTGTTTACCAACGTTTTTAGGGAATGTATTGCCTCCATCTTCTGAAAATAGTGGTGAAATATTCCTCAAAAACTGCCAATAACCCAACTGTTTTAAGTCTAACAGCAGTGTAATCCAATATATCTTCTGTCGGCACAGTTTGTTTCCTCTCTGGCTTTTTGTCTAGCGATGATTCTGTTGTTTTCAGCTTATTGACTAGGTTGTACTTTATTTATTCAAAACTGGTGCTTATGGAAATTTGTCCTGAAATTTTCTCTAAGATTCTCTGGCAGACTCATATTTGAAATAGAGTTTCATTTAACATACATGCTGTTCAGTAGTAAACATGAAGATTTCTGTCTTCAGGGTTGTTGCGCTGTGTAGTCTGAAACGTTGGTTAACATCAACCAGACTACACAGCGCAACAACCCAGAAGACAGAAATCTTCATACTCACCGCTGTGAAAACCTCAAATCTTACGATAGTAAACATCACTTGAGCCATGTTGCACAATACTGAATGCTTAATAAAGAAATGCATTAATAGATGCAGACAACAGTTTGGCTGGGTGCTTGGGCAGCCGCTACTTCGTGGTAAAGTAGGAACTGGTAGATGCTATAATTTATCAACATAATATTTGTGAATACACGTAAAATGTAATTCATGGAAGCTAACATGTGGATGAAGTCTGGTGAAAATACAGTATGTCCTTGGTAGATGATTCTGTTAAGTTGAAGGACTTGCAGTTGGTGAGCATGCTCAACCATATTTTAAAATCATCCTCTCTAATCTTATCATTGGGCTGCTGTGGTAGGTTTGCTCTTACATGAAGAGATTATCTGTATTTCAAAAGTAGTATCTGTAATCTCTATTTTACCACATTAACACAGAAAAGTGTTAGGTTTTTTTTTTATAATTTTCGGTGTACTAGTCTGAGCTAACGTGATATGCAAATACACAATGCAGTGGGGAAAAGGTATATTTACCAAGTATTGATTATATAACAAAGGAATACAGTAATATAAGTGTAAATTAAAAACTCTTGTCAAAATGAGAACACTATGAATTGTTTCCACTCTACTGTAAAAGAATAAATGTAATTACGATAAAACAGAACCAGAATTTTTTACTTTGTACGGTTAGAAATGTTGGAAGTAAGAGTTTGTAATACCTGATAGTACATTCTTAATGCTGGCTGCGTTATATTACTTGGAAGACATCAGAACAGAGCCTCAAAGGTACCCTTTGTGATGTTTCTTCTGGTATCTTAACTACACTTATCAGTTACTTTTCTGCAGCTGAAAGCAAATATGTGTTTTGTGCAGTTGCCATGTTGTTATTCTGCATTACACAGACCTCAGTGCCTTCAGTTCATATTTGTGCCCCAGAATATTGCAATAAATTTCATAACTGAAACTACAGATGGATAAGTGTACTGACAGATAAGGTTATTTGTATGTCACATACGTCTTGACACGGGGAAATAACAGTATAGATATGATTGTATGATGAATGTGGATACAGCATATATGCAACTGTTGTGAAGAATCTTTAACATGTTACTCACAGCAATAAAGGCTTAAGTGAACACAACATTATTGCATAATGTGCATTTTATGTGATGACCTGAGATGGTGAAGTCGTTAAAGCGATTGGCTATATATGTTGAATTGTTATTGTCTGGAAGACCAGGATATGATTTTTGGAAGGGACTGGAATTATTCTGTTCATTTAAACCTCTGGACAGATTTCAAGGACTGTCTAGCTTCCTTCCCACTGGGTACTTGAGGGTTACTACTTATTTATTATTTACTTATTTTCTTACTGATCATGCTTGTCATTGTGTCAAGATTAAATGGTGTACAGATTTAATTTCCATAGTCAGTAACATGTAGATCTTAGAACAATTTTGCTTTTTATCTAAAAAACTAATTCTGAATGTCACCATTCAAGATTGTAACATTTTTGAGGAGAGAGAATAATATTAGGCATTTATTTGTTTCTTTGTCGCCCTTGGTGGACTAGTGGCTAGCGTGCTCACCACTGGACCCAAGGTTCATGGGTTCAAACCCAGCTGAGGTTGGTGGATTTTTAAGGGTAATAAAAATCCTTAGCAAAACTTCCTTCTGAGGGGAAGTAAAGCTGGCGGTCTCATGTCGTAGATTTACCGCATGTAAAAGAACCTTATGAGCTTAAATGAGATGTTTCGTAAGCAAAATTCAACAGCCATTTCTCACCCATATTTCTCCTTATTCTCTGCTAGATGACTCTAGCAGACAAAATCAGGATTGAGTAGAAATTGTGCAGAGGTAGTGGGCTGGTCACTCACTACTCACAAATGCACACTTCAAGGACCAGGAAACCTCCCACAAGGGAGGAAGCGAAGGCCTGAACTTGGGCTGTAGTGCCATTGGATGGATGGATCTGTTTCATTGCGTTGGTTGCTGTGTATGCATGCAGTCAGGCATAATGGAATTTTTATATAACATTTCCTGTAAAGATTTAGGATGGGTTAATGTTATGGGGATGCTCTATGTAAATTTTATTTTGTGTTAGTCAACTTTGCACTGTAATGTTGACTGACACACAGAGCAGCTTCAGCTGGACTCGCTACCAGTGTAATTTAAATTCAGAGAATTATTTATGGATAGGTCTTCAAGTCTTTGTTATAAACAATGTTTATTTGGAATGATACAAATTATGTACAATAATATCAGTTACAATGCTAGTTTCACTCTCCTTAGAATTTATAAGAATCTTGGAAACCTAAATCTAAACTTAGAATACAGATTTGATAATGACTTTATCTTTATTATATTTCCATGAATTTGCTTAAGTTTTCTCAATATTCACTATATGAAACTTAATGATACAATAACATTAATAGGAAAAATACATTAGTGTTAACACAGCATCTCACTCTGTATTTTGGGCATGATGCTATTGTGGCTTTTCTGTATAAGGACAAAATTAAAATTAAAACACTGTCCTCATGGTTGATGACGATAGGATGCTTGTGTTATGTGCAACCTAAAACATCTTCCTAACAAAATTTGTGAACAGCTACACTAAACAAAATGTAGAAAAATTTAATAATAATGAACATGACAGTTCTAGAGCTAAAGTGACAACTCAAACGTGAAAATGTAACAGTACTTTCATACTCTCATCACAACATTGTTAACCATTTCTCTGCTTGCTTTCAGTCCTTTTCCAAATGAATATTGAATGAGTGAAGTAAGAGTACTGAGCTAGAGAAATGTTGTTGTAGTTCAAATAGGTGCAATTGAAGATAAAATGTGGACTATAAAATTTGTGTAATTTGCCTGAGACCTGGTAGTAGATTATCTTTAATGATCTGCAAACTTGGAAGCTTACACTTGAGTAACTCAAGTCTTTGACTGTAGTTCCTAAAATTTTGCTTCTGTCCAACACACTCTTAGGCTCGCTATACGAAGGAAGCACATTCTTTGCTGATGATTTCAAGTATCTCCATTTCCCTTGCATTACTCTGAAACATTAAATTCACTAAGTGAAATTATGCATCAGGGTCTTTTATGTACTTGTCCTTCTGAGATATGGGCGCCATCTCAAGGGAAGATGGCAGTGTTGGATACAAATTACTCGTACTCAACAAGGTGCTGACTTCTATGAGCAACTCACGAAACACAGACGAGCACAAGTTCTGTCCAAGTAGATGGAGCAGGAGGAAATCTCCAACCTGGAACATATGAAACCCCATCTGTTACCCAAAAACTTAATTTTTATACATTCTTTGCATGCACAATGGGGAGGTGATGTTCTTACATCCGCATTTCATTAGCAAAAGCACTTAAATTTTGATGATTTCTGACACAGGGGTCAGCATTGGGATTTGTCGTTATAACTGTATCTTTGTCATATCAGTTCCTTCATTAATGTATTGTTAAGTTTGTACAAATCATAAAATCTTTGAGGTACAGCAAATTATTTTAAGCCTTCTTTGGTGTTACATCTTGAGTACTGTACTGTACATAATTTTCATAAGATCAAGTGAAAAAAAATCTATATTAGTTGGAAAAGATTAACTTGGGGTTCATGTTATCATTTTCTGGATGATGTCACAATGTAGTAGTGCAAAGTTTAGGAGACCTTCGTCTATGTATGCATATCACCACCCAAAAAAATTGTTAAAAAGCCTGAAGACATCCATGACAAACATGTACAAATGTTTAGGAATAATGTCGATGAAACTGACCTGTATCTTTGTTACAATTCTGTCCACACCACCCGGAGGTCTGTATTTGAAGAGTCTTATCAATATTGTCTCACGGATGGGTGGATACATTGCTATAACAATGCTGTAGATAAGGGCAAGGCCTGACAGCGCAGCCAGAATGATGAACCAGAACCACAGGAAAATAAATATCTTCTCATTGAGGATGTTGAGGGGCAGGACACACAGTGCATCATGTGTTTGAATGGTACCTGTAAACCAAGTTTCAGTGCAGTTTTAATTCAGTTTAGATTATTATCATTAGCAGCTGTAGCAGTAGTAGTAATGCAGCATTTGTAAACAGTCTCATCACCACACAGTGAAGGTATAAAACTCACACATTCTAAACATTGATAGAAGATGGAAGTGAGGTGTTAGCTTCACACTCCAGCATCTGTATTCCTAGGAATAGACCCACAGTACTGGGTAGGAGGTTGGATGAGTCCCAGAGCCAGTCTGGATACACTGGTTGGAAAGAGAAAATCTCTGCCCCTGCTAGAAATTGGACCCTGGCTGTACACTGTCACTTTTTTGACATAGCTGACTACGCTTCTATTGGAGATGGGAACAGCATCTAGACTGCTAAATGTAACTGACCCCTCACAACACTTGTCTTAATAACACACCTGAGGATGTTAGTGGGAAAATAGGTAGATTATGTAGTCTAATGTGGATTTATGAAAGATGGATGTGGCTAGGCTAGTAGTCAGTAAGAGATGTCCTTGATCCCATGTGCCACTCATTAAGCACACAAGCTCTAATGAACCACAATGTTACGATAGTAATGGATGGTTAGGTTGTAATTTTATAGTGTGTGAAAGGACTGAAGGTGTTTATGGATTAAATACTGTGGAATGCTTTAATGTGTTGAGTTTGTCTCGTACAATTACATTCATACTTATTCCATTTTTAAAAACATGTTTGGCCTGAGAAATCATCTAAACTATTGATTTCTAATCACTGTTTAATTAATTTTTTTAAAAATAATTTATTAGTTTGAGTAGTACAGACCAGTACAGATACATTAGAAGAACCAAATTAGTAAACATGGAAATCAACATCAAGGAGGGTATTAGGCCATGACTGCTTCCTTCCACATCCTTTCCAATTCATTGTTCACTATCATCCTCTCATTCGATGCTGTATGTCTGAGCTACTGAAAAAGTGTCGTTAAATAAACTATAAATAAATAAATCAATCAAGGAAGGTGCATACACACACACATACCTGAGGCTCCATAAGTGCGGAAGAGACACTTGGTTAGTCGAGGAAATATGGCGATCATAGGGTCTGTACGATGCAGATCATCATTGCTTGACATTTGAATAACTTTTATTCCATAACTCAAGAACGTATTCCCCAGAAATTTGTCAATGAAGAAAATATTGCCAACCTGTCAACAAGAATACATTAATTTAAAATCATATCTGAAGACTTTTACTTAGATGGCTGTCTGTGTAGTCTAGTAGAAGTTTGCCAACATTTCAGAGGTCCTTTCTGCCTCCATCATCGCCCTGATAGTGATGATGACGAGTTTCTGGCTATTACACTGCATCAGAATTATAAAGTTAACAGCAGCAGGTTTGCCCATGATTTCAGTAACTTTACCATTACAACATGATGCAATGAGCAAAAGATTCTACAATGAATGCAGATTGATGTTAAAATTCTCAATTCCTGAGTTGCTGCAAATTACAAGGAATTTATTTGTTTAAACATTCTTATTTTCCATGTAATGTAAATTGATGATACATTTCACTTACCACATTAACAAAGTTTAGTATCTCACAGAAGAAATATCCAAATGCATAGCCATTATGAGTATGAAGTGAGTAGCTGATGTACTGAACAAGTTTGTCCTGTTTATTGTGTCTCTTTTCTTTGCACTCGATTGTGGACCCTCGCAAATCTTTGCTGATCATCTTGATTTTGCCACCCTCCCAGTTCTTCCACAACCAATGTGGTACATAGAAGAGGAGACCCTATAATGGAAAGACAGTATAACAATAATTCTTATGTGTCATAACATTTCCTACAATACAATCTGATTTATGTCAAAAGAGAGTGAATTTTCAAATATTTTTCAACTTTACAAATTTTAATGATTAATTACAAGTTCTTGAACACTGTTAAGCATTCTGGCATATTCTGTCCATTTTTGTGTTAGTTTTTGATAGAATATTATTGAATTAACCTACATATGTATTTTTACAGATGAGGGATTTCTACCAATCTTAGTGATGTTGGTTGTATTTAGGAATTGACAGATGAAAATCTGAATAGTCTGGACAGTCATATTCTTATTTCAGTTTTTAGTGACAATTCCGAGGTATTTACATTTAAATATTTTAATTGATTTTATAATGATGGATTAAAGCAAAGTATTCCCCATGCCAGTTGACGTTCTTACTTGTAGGAATAGCACGAAGGGGACCCATTGGTAGTAGTTGTGATGTTGAACTTCATCTAGCCCTTGTACATGGGGTCCTACCCCAGGGCCAGCCACATGAGTCCCTACTTGTTGACCTTGTAGGTGGGGTATAGTGTATGTGGATGTGATCCAGCAGAATGTATTTATCACATGAATTTTATCTTTGAATTGAGAATTCAAGCATTCAATGGGGTTTCCTGCAATGTAATGAAGATAAATGTTACAGCTTTTAGTGTGTATTTTTACGTACAGTACCCTAAATTCTGAAGATTTCTGTCTTCTGGGTTGTTGAGCTGTGTAGTCTGGTCGATGTTAACCAACGTTTCAGAGGTCATACTGCCTTCGTCATCAGGGCAATGAATATTCAGACTACACAGCGCAACAACCCAGAAGACAGAAATCTTCATACTCACTGCTGTGAAAACCTCAAATCTTACCCTAAATTCTGTTTGCAAAATGTTTTCATAAGAATTTCTAAAAAATTTATCTATCAACATTAATCAGTGTAAAGCAAAATATAAATTGTTATAATGCTCAGTTAGGCTATATATGTATCTAATGTATACCAGGGAATCTTTCCCTGGGGCAAAGCTGTCAGAGCATGATGCTAACTACTTGTCTCCACCTAAAGTCAATGTTGAGAATGCTTGGAGGTTTACTTACATATCAGATGTGTCAACATTATGCTGTCACGCTGTGTAAGTATAATAAGATACTTACCAATCAAACTATTTGCAGTACAAAGGATACAGCACACAAAAAGTATGGCTGATGTGAAGCGGTAATGACATCTGAATATCACATTGTCTATAACTTCCTTGTCAGCTAGAAACCGAATTTTAACGAATCCGGCCAATGCTGATAAGAGGCCAACTAGTGACATCTTGTCTCCTGGCTAGCACTGTAAATATAAGTGGACAAGAAATATTAAAGTTCTTTATGTCAGATCGCACGTCAATGGGTGTTGCGTGGTGTGAGATGGGATTAAAGATGAGGTTTGTCACAGAGAACTTAATTCTTTCCATGATAGCATTAAGTTTTCTTGTTGATAAATCAGAACAGTTATGTTAAAATTTCTGAAGATATTTTCTTTTCATTGACTGTGTTGTGTAATATATTTCAAGTATTAGAACATAGTGTCTGTAAAGCAGATATCATATTTCTAACATCAAAAAATTAAGATACTTCAGGACTTTTTCTGAAATTAAGTAGAAAAAAAAGTTGACCTCTCCCCATCAGGATTTTGGGCATGCCTCATAAAACAGTGATTATATGGACTTCCCAATGTGGTGACCTCTGAATCCAAGTTTTACAGTACTTACAATTTATAGACCTAGTGTAAGCTGTTTTAATATGTAAGATTGATTTATTGGACTTTGCCCATGCGCTATATTATAAAATAACAGCCATAACATTTCAGGACCAGGGCTGAGGCTAGATCAACCAGGGGCTCTGCGTATAGGGTTTCTGGCCTCTTCCTTCTTTTCACCTGAAGACAGAAGCAGAATCCAGCTTCCAAAATGTTGGATTTTCTTTATTTTATAAATCACAATGAACAAAGACCAAGAAAACAATCTTACATATCATTATGCACCATTTTCAGAAACTTTCAGACTTCATGAACTGTTCTAATTTGCTGACAAGGGAATGGTCTGGTTGGTCATGCCGAAACCTCACCTGAAATTTTGCTCGTCAACAGAGCCAATCTAGTAATGATTGTCCACAAAATTTCAGCTGCTGATATGCTGTGCAAGGGTGCGAAAAAATTGCTCAAAATTCGAATGTGCATTTAAAAATCGCGCCACAGTTTCATCAAGAATTTCGGCTACCAACCAACATGTCTTGTTGCTTTAGAAATTCGAATCCCACACTGTTTAAATGAATTCTTTTATTATAAATGATGCCGTAAAGAAACAGAAGTCAATGGAATAAAAAACTGAATTTGTGTTAGAAAGAAGACAAGCCTAATTCTCTTCCAAGAGCTCACAAATGTAAATGGAACCCTGTAAATGTTATAAGCAATAATAATAATAATAAATAGGATGCCCTTATCTCACTCTTTCTTCCACCGTCAAAATAAAATGGAGAGAGTAAAGGACAGTGTCAAGAATTTCTTAGTAATTCACAGAAGATAAGTACTTTGGTTATTGTGAAAGACTTTTAGAAGCACAAAAGTATCTCGTCTGCAACACACTTCTCCTACAAGCGATTCACAGCTCAGTTCTTTCAACACTGACGAAAGCGGATTGTTGACGCGACAATGCCGAAGGAAACTATGACGTAACAATTAGTAAAGGAATGGAGTGCAATACGGTTTATTCAGTCTATTATACGGCATGCATAAGAAATGAGCCTTACGACATGCTCAGTCAATATTGTCGCACGTGTGGTTTAGAAATTCCAATACTTCTTATTATATTGTACACGCAGGTGTTCATATAGAAGCTGACCATTGTCGTTCTATATTTACACATTCTTTTTAGTTAAAAATAGTACAAAGAAAATTACTCAAACATATAATTTGGTTACATTCCATCCTAACTGTAAAAAGCATAAATTAATATTAAATATTTTCTCTATAAGAATGAAATAAATTTAAAAGTAATGGAAAGAGGCATGAAGAAAATTTTACAATTCCATTTGCCCTTATTTAAAAATGCTCTCCGATGCAATGTACCGGTGAATACCGAGCCACTGCTAGGCGCGCTGCAGTCAGACGCGTGCGCGATGGCGCGAATTTTAAATGTACATTCGAATTTTGAGCAGTTTTTTCGCACCCTTGCACAGCGTATCAGCAGCTGAAATTTTGTGTACAATCATTACTAGAAGGGCTCTGTGGACGAGCACAATTTCAGGTGAGGTTTCGGCGTGACCAACCGGACCATTCCTTTGTTAGTCACGTTGAACTATCGAGTTGGGTTTCATTTATTGTGACGCAATAAAACGACGATATTTTGGGAGGGGGATTAAAGTAGAACATGACAGGTACAGAACTTCACCCAATGTCAGTCCACTTTTTAAAAACACATTATTCATGTAGTGTGTATCATTTACGGGTATTCTGAAAAATCTTGTAAAATGAACTACGTTAAAATTGGGTTTGTGGTTCATGCTATTGTATCAACATTTAAAACGTTCACGGAATAATGTATATAATATTTCAGTATTGACTTGATTAAATTGATTTTTCAGAATATCAATTCACATATCGTCATGCTTTCGACACAAATGTTGACCCCTTAATCACAATTGCTTCCGTTACCGACAACATTTTGTAAGGAAAATGCGCCCTTTCAGGGATAGAGGGTCGAACCCATAACCCTCCCTGTGTATACGGCTCCCCAGAACGGCATTATGTGAACAAAGCAAATAAAATGTTGGACTTTCCTTCTTGTCCCATCTCGGTCTTGAAAGTACAAATCTTTTCCTGTCCTGCCTTTAGTACTGGTCTTCATTTACTGCAGGTACAAATATTTATTTTGTTAGATATACTTTATATCCCGAAAAGTTTCAAATAAACGCTCTCAATAATGAGTAGCAGCTATAAACCCCCCCCCTCCCCCCAGCTTTACGTGTTGTACAGCGTCCTTTTCGATACGTTACAAGCGGTTCCGTTCTTGTCATCACTGCTAAAGTAAAATGTAATAACAAGCACTCCAAATTTATTACAGAGCCACAAACTGGTCCTGTAAATAGCGTGTATAGGAATCAAATTAGACTAAAGGGTGCAGTAAACAAATACAATAAATGAGCTGTAATTAAACGTAGGCTGAGTGACTCGTTAGGTTAAAGAGATAATGTAAAATTCAAGAGTTTAAATATTACTTAGGAATTGACAGAAAGATTACTTGCAACAATAGGTGTCTACTCAGAAACACAAAACATAGTACAGACGTTTGAGGTCATGTAATGAAGAGGATGGTGCAAAGTAAAAATAAAATTGTAACAAATCTTTTCCGTCTGTCTGTTCAAATCTGTAAAGGGACATGGACACCACAGCCCAGTAAACTCAATATTGTTGTAAACAAAGTTGTGGAAAATGTGCATCCGCCATATTAAAAATAGCTATAGACTGAAACTACTGTATTTTGTTAATAATCAAAGTATAAATAACTTTACCTGGATCTCTTGTATTAAAGAAGTGTGTCTGACAATATTAATGATAACACTGAAAAATTGCAAGACGATACTTCATCCCACCCCACTTATCACTACGCATTTCCCAAGACTGACGCAATGCGGTTTTCTGCGGTTCCGGGTCGAGGAATTCCGCAGGCTGTCTCCCATAGAATTCCCTATTTCGTTCCTTTCCCGTAATCTCTGTTTCAAGATAACTGCAGCTGTGATGCCGACGCCGCCATTCGGCTGTTTCGTGACCTACTACGCAGGCCCGTTAGACATGTTCGCGACCATCTTCACCCCAAGCAACATCAGTATAATAACATGCAAAGTTAAACTTCACTTATATTATTGTGGCGCTCCTCTACTGTGTTCTGTCAAACAGTGCATTACATCTCACAGTTATAATGTATTAACGTTGGCAAGCAAAAACAAAACTATCCAGCGTGTCTCTTTTCATCAAATTCCCCCGCCCCATTATCCCGAAATGTTAAGTCGCGGATTAAAGGTCGGAAGTAGAGGTAATACTTGCTTTTCGAAACGTTGGTAACCACCTACAAGACTACATGACATCACAACCCAAAGACAACAGTCAGCAGTACCTTAAATAGTTTTTGTTTCGTCGATGTTCAGGTGGAGTGTTGTAGCCACACCACATACTTGGCCAGGTCACACTGATACACAACTGGTTTGCAATAATATCACTCTAAAAGGAGCCAGAGATATTATTATGAAACACGAAGCATTCGGGAAGCTATTAAGAAAATTACATGAAATCCTGACCGCTGCAGGCTAGCTTTCAGTTCGTACACCTTGCGTGAGTAGCGAACGAACAAACATTATGTCTCAAAATGTCAAGATGCATACAGCATTTTCTGGGTTTAAACATGTGGATGGGTGGCAAGTTAGTTCTTATAAGTGAACGGAGTAGCCATTTTAGAAGTAAAGCCATGTCAAATTTAGGGGTTATCTATCCAATTATTTTGTCCAGTTTTATGAACTGCGTCAAATTAAAGTTACTCAGTCACTAAAGACACTGTTTCTGTGACAGCGCATCCTTAAATTCTTATTGCGAGTCTTAGAATTGAGAGTTGCGAGATAAACACAACAGATATTTAAACAGTGAATATGTACAGAAGACTTCCTTACCTTGCACCTCGATGCCACCAACACGCAACGCGGACTAGCCTCTTCTCTCCGCAGCATCGCACAGTCTTTTCAAACGGGTATTTCCCCTCTCTCTTTCTGAGAAAAACACTGAAACACGCAACTGTTTTTGGAATTGCTTGCACCATCCAGCAGGTTGCAAAAAATTGCACGAGGAAAGACTGATGTTAGATCTGCTACCTCTGCAGTTACCCTGCAGGTTAGTATAATCGGGGCTATAATGATAACGCCATTCGACCTTTGGTCTCTTCCGTTACAGGTAAAAGTTTCTGCTGCTTTGCGTAAACGTCACGGCTTGGAGGCGTAAACGGGTAAAGTTTCGGTCCATGCCACCCCTCGGAAAAAGCGCTGGTATCATTAGATAGACGACAGGCTGGACTCTTAGAGTCGGCCTGGGCGTGGGCTTAACGAAGAAAGGGGTGACCCATTCACCGCCGGACAGCCAAACCCTGGTGCCCAACTTCAGTAACAGACATCCCCGCTTTTCGTCAGTTGTAAAGGTTTTATGAATTCGTATTCAGATAAACAGTAGTACTTCATGGATGGGAGATAGATGGGCAATAGACCAAGCGTCAAGGACCAACAGTAATGTCGCGAGCGAGGTGTTTTAGTGTTAAGTAGTGCGACTCGTGCTGAGTTATAAATCTGTTGATTCTAGCTTTTTCAGTCACATGGGGAAAAGAAATTCTTTCATCGGTTGCCATTTTCACTGAGCGAAAGTTACAATTTATAGCATACGCTTTCATGTCAGGACACTTGTGGTTTTGGGAAGGAAGCCCCGGTGACGACATCCGGGGAGACCGATAAGAATCAGGCGTGCACTCTTGTATTCCAGGAAGTATTACACAAAGAAATACGCTTTGCAGGAAGACCGAATGAGGATAGATTCTCCATCATCCCGGCCTCTTCTCATGGTCACTTCTAACAAGAGCAAAATGAATTCTCAGCGAACTGTGTGTGCCCTTGACCACTCGTCTCACCACTGGCAGTCAAGTCAGAATGCTTGATTGTATGTACTGTATGTATTCCTTGCACAAAGTGCATAAAATGAATGCATAATAGAAAAATTATACCTGTCCATCTGTGTTTCATCTTTGAAACCACTCAACAATTTCGTTTAAATTTTGCTTTGGGGAGTCTACTTTACAAATTGTTGAGCAAATTTAATTTTTTTCCATTCCAGTTCAGTAAGCCAGCAACCACTACTTCATACGTGAATCTCATATCGTACTTTTATAAATTCTCGAAGAAACAGTTAATTTAATGGCAATAACTGATGAACAGTTGCAGCTAAGTGTGTGAAATGTTATATTTAGATAACTATAAACATACCAATAAATTATGTCTGAAACATTTGTATCTAGGATGGAGGAAATATCACTACTTAAAACTGGCACAAAAGTAAGGAATGAATCATGAATCAATTATAAGTTGTTATTTTTGTTTGAATTTGTTTATCAGTAAAAATGTACTTCTTGAACACAAGTCAATTGGATGCTTTTCAGATTCAAACCTTTACTGCCTTATTTTGACGGTTCATACTGTCAGTTATGAGCTCTTGTATATGGAAACTACAAATGCAGGCTTTACTTTTTAAACACTTCAGTATGGAAAGGGTTTGAAAAACTGAGAGCAGGAGCTACAGAGTGTGCACAAACATGTACTTGCAGTTAGAAATGTAACCAACCAAGACTTAAAATGTAAGATTTGAGGTTTTCACAGCGGTGAGTATGAAGATTTCTGTCTTCTGGGTTGTTGAGTCGTGTAGTCTGGTATGAGTTTACCGATGTTTAGGAGGTCCTTGCGATCATAACCCTGATGATGGAGGCAGTATGACCTCTGAAACGTTGGTAAACATCGACTAGACTACACAGCGCAACAACCCAGAAGACAGAAATCTTCACACTCAATCGCCCTGATGACGGAGGCAGTATGACCTCTGAAACCTTGGTAAACATCGACCAGACTACACAGCGCAGCAACCCAGAAGACAGAAATCTTCAAGACTTAAAAATTGCCAAAATTAAAGTAGATTGCATTTAACTGCAGTGCATGCATGTAGGAAATCAGATTCATATATATTTTCGTTGGTTAAACTAATAGAGAACAGAGCACTTGATACACTTAGAGATGAATGGAAATTGAAATGGGTCACAGAGAAATGTGTAACTGAATTCAGCTGGCTTAGGGTAAGATCCAGTGTGAGGCTTTTGTGAACATGGTAATGAACCTTTAAGAAGCAGGGAATTTGGCTAGGCGAGTGATGACATCATGCACCATTGAAGTTAGTTCATTTGGGATGTAGGAGTCTGTAAATCACAAGACAGAAACTTTGTCTGCAGTTTTAATGAACTACATCATTACATAGTGTTGTTGACATTACTTTATCACTGTGATTGAGCTATTGTTATGTATGTCAACCTGTTACAATGACAGAAGATGAAACAATAAACAAGAATATGTATCAGAAACAAACTGCACTACTTATGATTACAGATTTAGTATCATTCTTATATTAAAGATTATCTATCACATGCAGATGCAACAAAACATCTCAAGTTAAAATTCCATGAAGAGGAACAGCATGTCTTCATTACCCCATAAAACTGCACTCTAAAATATAATCAATTTATTATTATAAACTTCCACAAAAATAATACATTTATGGTTTATTGTAGAATTAAACTTTGCTGTCCTCACAATGTTAGCATTATGCACACAATTTCTGATTCTGATTTAGAAATTCTATCATCGCTGTCTGTTCCACAATAAACACAAAATTGAGCATTGCTTCTGTCTGAAAGAGACTCCTGGCTCCAAGCTGGAATTTAACAAGTTTTTGTTTAATTACTCTGTATATGAATATGTTATACTTGCTGCTTCTTTCCTTGGGCTTTATTCATCATCTGTTTTTAAAAATCTTTATCATAAAATCTAAAGGAATTACACATTAAAGGATAGCTTTGTGTACCATATCCAACTGAATAGGTCTCTGTCCCCTTTACCTGAAGAACTAAGGAAACATGGTGATTTTTGAAGGTTTTTTAAAAACAGAAAATGGATGAAGTCCAAAACAAAGATACTAGTAATGCAGTACCATCACCAAAGACATTCAGAGAATAGTGTTAGACTTGTGGCTATTATTGTGTTCATGCTGTGTGCTATAATTTTAACTCTCTTCATGCAAAGTATATTATGGCATATACAAACAAGATCCAAAATCACATATGTTTACACATAACCTTTGAATATATCACATCCGGTGTTATTTTTCATTTTAAACATTCACGTAGTTAGGCCACTCATTCATATTCATCTGTGCCAAATTAACAATAAAAATAACACCTCTTAAGCCAGTAATATTCATGGATATGAACAGGATGAATTGATGTTGTTCTGTAATGTTCACATAAAACAAGTCACTGTTGTGCAATATTTCACTGTTGGATTTATGCAGGTAATGTAAAATCATGTAAGATGATAAGCAAAAATATCTTTAAACAAAACTGACAGTATTGAAAACAGTGTCTTGTGCTTAATTAAGTTTCCTGTCATAGAAATCACTCTGCAAAGATAATGGCACATTTGCCAGTCAGTTAAGTAGTCAAAAGTATGTTTTGAATACGTGACAAACAGTATGCGTACCCACTCAAGCCTTGTGGCAGCCAGTCATGGGTAGCACTGGCCACAAAATGAGATAGAACTAACAATTGTTGTTAGCATTTACAAGCTTCTCTTTATTTGGAATGTTATTAGGAAAGACACTTCAATTAAAAACCCTCTTCTTGCTTATAATATACATTACTTAGCTACCTATTTTCTGTTGACACAAAAGAAAACGCGAATTCGTTGTCGAAAACCTGCAATAACTAATCTAACAAATCTTAGGCTAGTTGGCAACAATAGTCAAAACAAAATGAATATTAAAACTAGTATTATGCTATCTTCTTTGAACAAATTTCTTCAGTTTTGTTAACTACAGATCTCTTTACTGTTTTTGGATCTGTAGAACTTTCTTCAACCTTAATCATTTTAGATTTAGATTTTGAAATTGTGCAAATTTCATTCTTTAATCCATCAGTAAGGTTACTGTACACTTTCACAGTATCGAATATCACCCTGACAAAACAGGAAGTTCCAGCATTTGAGAATAATTCCAGAGAGTGACATTAGTCCCAACTGATGACTGTAGTTTGCGTTGTAAAGTATAGCTGAATTTTAAAACCTTGAGGCATACTAAATAGAAGTGAAAATATATGTATGAATAATGATAATTCCTAGAGACTAATGTGGAAACCTGTAGACCTGAAATGGAAGCAGATGTGTTTCCTCCTTCAGCTTAACTTTCATCGTTTTTGACTGTCTTGAGGAATCCAGATGCTCTGTGTCTTCAAACATATGAACCAAAAAAGTAAGAGGTGCTCCAGTAATGATCATAACATTTTATCCATTTTATTTCTTACAGTTGTCAGTCACTGGAATTCTCCTCAAAGCTCAAGAGATGCTAGGCTTCTGTCTCTTTTGGGAACTTTTCCTTTGAAGGGTATATAGGAGACATCTCTAGGGTAGATGGTGCTGTAGGAACATTGTTATGCATGTAGTCATTCAGTCTACGACTCAGTTCATCCAGTATCTCACCAAACACCACCATGTTCATATTTTGGCCTAGCAGATGGAGCAGTAGAAAGTCTCCAACCTGTAATACATGAAATGTTAGATGTGATGGGACCGATTACTTAATGCAGATGTTTTTCTTATGTTTCCATCATTTTCACAGTAATCACAGATAACGGTAGATTCCTAAGTTACTTGATTCATCTCCCATTGCTGCCACCCACACTATCGTGACTGCTCTGCAACCTCAAAACAGATTTAATTTGATTGGGTGCAGTTTATATTATATCAATTACTGCATTCTGAAATTATTGCATTAAGTGAATATTCAGTTATTAATAATTGCTGATTTTGTGATGTGGTAACCATTCTGCTTCAATAATTCAATCATATTACGTTTACATATAGTTGTGAATTCATAAGGAAAGGGGGGAAGTGGATATTTAATGGTAGTAGCATATAATTGATTTGGAAAGAAGACACTAAGAAATATTGAGACCTTCAAGATGGAAAGAAAATATAGTCATGTAAAAAACTAAATTGGATTTATGTTATGGCCCCCCCAAATTAATTTAGTATAGTTTTATAAAAGTGATACTATAGTAGAACCCATTTAAGATGTTACTCAGTGAAACAGCTGGCTATGTGCCTAAAGGATCAAATTCCTAGACAGGAAATTGTTGATAGCCATATCTACAACAGACTAGCACAAGAATTTCTGATTGGAGAAACACTTCTCTTTTATGTATGTCCAAAACTGACTCATTTCAATTCCTCACAGCTTGAACTAGAGTATATGAAGATATGTGGCAATTGGGTGACATCTGTTGATAAATACAAAATATTCTGAATACTAATTATGGAATCATAAGCCATCACTAGCAGAAAAGTGCATTAACCAGAACTCTTTCTGAGTTTTATTACCAACATTTATTGGGTTTACTGTCTCATGGATGCAGATGACAGTTTTAAAACACACTGTATGAAGTACAGCTGCCAATTTCTTATACAGGGGAAATGTAGCTCACACCATTCTGAATGTGACAACGTAATGTCAGTTCAGATACTCACCTGTGTCTTGTCCACAACAGCTGATACCCCAGTAGGGGTGCCAAATCGGAAACGTCTCTTCAGTATTGTCTCGCGTATGGATGGAAGCACCACTATGACCGTGCTGTAAAGCAGGGCAAGGCCAGATAGCACAGACAGGAAGATGAACCAGAACCACAAGAAGATGTAGATCTTCTCGTTTAAGACGTTTAGAGCCAGGACACACAGGGCATCATGCTTCTGAATTGAGCCTGTGAACAGCATTATATGACATGTCATGTTTCCTTGTGTTGGTACTAACAAAGGCAGGTGTATAAATTCAAAATATCAAATCGCTCCGCGACTATCTCTGTTTGGATTACACAGTGTGTGTACGTGTCAGAAAGATTGAAAATGCAACAGTATCGCATCTCTTATGTCTGGACATGCTGTATATATATATATTACTTTTCCTTGCAAAATTATCTACATGAAACTCCATATTTGAAGTGTGAACACTGAGTGCTTTTGCCATGGAAATTAGAAGAGGCGATGGCTATGAAGAAGATTAAGTGACTATCCGGTGGGTTGCATGAAGATGTGTCTACTCAAGTCACTGGTTTGTTGAATAAGTATACAAACTCCACATAAATTTATTTTTCATTGCGCCTTGTAAAAGAATGGCCACTTCTTGGAGTTCTGAATATGAAGTTGAAAATATGCAGTGAAAAGAAGAATTTATTTCACACTCAAAAATTGGAAACACTGTATTTGGAAAGTTATACAAAACTGAATTACAACTTAAAACTTTGCATACCGTGTAGTGTATTAGAATATAAAATAAGTAAACAAACAACTATTAACACTATAAAAAAAGACACTATTGCCATACGCGTTTCAACCTCAAGAGGTCATCATCAGTGGCATCTTGATGTTGAAGTGCATATGGCAATAGTGTCTTTTTTTATAGAGTTAGTAGTTGTTTGTTTACTTATTTTATATTCTGAATTACAACTGCTTTACTAAATTTTCATACCTGAGGGACCAAATTTATGGAAGGTGCATTTGGTCACGCGAGGGAAGACGACGATCATAGGATCTGTTCGGTTCTCTTGATTCAAACCCGAGTACCTTACTACGTCTGTTCCATACTTCAAGAATGCTCCTCCAAGGAATACATCCACAAAAAAGATGTTGCCAACCTGCATAAAAACCACTTCCATTAGATATAAGGGTATAACTGTCACAATTATAATATGAGGTCAAACGTCACCTCATGTCGGTCATCCGTATAGTCACATCATTTGTTCATTTTCTGTGTTTAGCAAACAGGCTTTCGACCTTGATCTGAGCAAGTGCAGCGCCCATATTATTTGGTAGCAACACTGAGGAATCTATGGTTGCCATAGCTAGAACCTGCAGAAAGGTAACCCTCTCACAGTCAAAATTTTCTAATTTAGCTTTCAAATTCATGCAGGACTCCAAGAAAATAACCACAATTTGAAATACATATGAAATTTTAACCTTTCACATCTGATAAATGCTGTGCTGTTCCCCCAGTGCTAAATTATTTTAACCAGTTCATCCCATTTGCTACTTGAGGAATCATATTTAGATTCACTATCCTTGTCCCAAATCTGTTTCCTCAAAGAATTATTAAATATTTTTACATAATTTTTTTAATATGAATAGCATATCTGTTGACAGAAGCTTCAAACAAACCTTTTTGAAGTGTAAGCAAAATATGTTAATGTTTCTGAAGGGTTCCTTAAATTGGTGGAAATTAATACATTTGCTTAAGGTGTAGGATAATCTGCATTTTAAGTGTGGCTTAATTCATTGTACATCTGTTAACACCTAGCTGTTAATTTCAATAATCGCTGCTAATGATTCTAAATTCAGTAGAGACTTTATGACACCAAGGTTACTTAAGAAACTTACAACATTGATGAAATTGAGGGCCTCACACAAGAAATAGCCGGCAGCATACGTATTGTGTAGATGCAGCGTATCTAGCATGTACTGAACTAGTCTGCCCTGCCGATCACGTCTGTCATCCTTTGAACCAATCATGGATCCTCTCATACCGTCACTGATCATTCGAACCTTGCCTTCTTCCCAGTTCTTCCATATCCAGTGAGGTATGTAGAACAGAAGGCCCTGCAACATGGAATCGTCTATGAACTTGAAGACATAAGAATCTTAGTTACAGTACAGCGTTTTATTAATGTTTCTTAACCCCTCTGGGTTTAGGAAAGAACAAAAACATATGTAAGATTTGAGGTTTTCACAGCGGTGAGTATGAAGATTTCTGTCTTCTGGGTTGTTGCGCTGTGCAGTCTGGTCGATGTTTACCAACGTTTCAGAGGTCATACAGCCTCCATCATCAGGGCGATGAGTATGAAGATTTCTGTCTTCTGGGTTGTTGCGCTGTGTAGTCTGGCCGATGTTTACCAACATTTCAGAGGTCATACTGCCTCCATCATCAGGGTGATGAATATGCCAATACACAGCACAACAATCCAGAAGACAGAAATCTTTAACGAAAACATACTTTGGAAGCCACACTGTGCATATCTGTTGCTTTCAAAACTGAAATTATTTATATACACATAGCTGCAAGTCCTTTGGTTTTCAAGAGCAACCTATGCCGCTGTGCATCTCTGTAGATAATAATATCTGTCCAAAAGCTTAAAAAGTTAGCATCTGTACCACTGAATGTATAACTTATTGGCTGAAGACTGATTAATGGAATGTTCTGTTACGTTCAAGGTTTGAGTAAAATAGTACTAACCAAAATGTGTTTCATGAGACAGCATGTTACACCCATAAGAAAGTGAAAAAAAACAACAACAGAATTTCAAATTTTGCCAGTAACAAATGTTATTCGCTACTGTGCTGATTATATTAATAATCATGCAGCAATTTTGACAGTTGTAATTCCACAGCCAGAACGGAACAGTGTTATTAACTATGCACAGTGATGGACACCGAAACGTATACAAATAAGTCAGTCTGGTGTTGTTGGTAGCCATCAGCTTGTTCATGGATCATTCTCTAAAGGCTTACCTGGAAGAAGAGCATGAAGGGAATCCACTGATAGTAGGAGTGATACCGAGTTTCATTTTCACCTTCGACGTATGTCCCTACTCCAGGGTGGGCTACGTGGGTTCCAACAGGCTTGCCTTGTTGATGTGGCAGTGTGAATGTGGATGTGATCCAGCAGTAAGTGTTGATCACATGTCCAGGGAGGGAATTGTCTGCGATGCAGTTGATAGGATCACCTGCAAGCAGCAGCAGTTCTCTCGGTGATAGTTGAAAGGAAAAATGGCAGACACAGTTCCTAGCTTAAGTATGCATCATAAATTACCGGTGACTTCGCAAATTGATATGAATTGGTATGGAGATACTGAAGTAAAGCTCTCATATTTCAGACCAGCTGTAGTGGTGAGCTTCATAAACTGTTGGCTATTCAGCATTATAAGTTTTCTTACAGGAAACAAATAATTCATTAAGCAATAAAGAAGTTTCCATGTGAAAAACAGATGATTCCTTAGAAATTAAAACCTTTCATATAAGAAACCAATATTTTAAACCCACCTATTAAACTGTTTGCAGTGCACAGGATGGAGCAAACAAACAATATTGCAGTTGTGATGCGGTAATGGAATCTGAACACCATGTTGTCTATTACTGCCTTATCGATGAGGAATCGTACTTTAATAAATCCGGCAACCGACGACACCAGGTTAAATATTGCCATTTTGTTATTTGTGAATTCTCACTGTAATATAAGAGGACAGTTCAAGTTAACAGTATCCCACAGCACCATGTAAAAGTAGTACATCTGAAAGGATATATTAAATGAAACAAAGTTCGTGTGGAATTTTGAACAATGACTTGGTTCATTTTCTTGTTTGTTGCAAGCTTAAATTCCAAACATTCAACACATTATGTATGTACTACAGTTATAAATTTGTTCTTCTGTCATTCAGTTATATGGACAAAGTAAAAGATGTAAAAAGAATTTTAAATGGAATTAGCACAAAAATTTGCTTATGCTGTGCTACAAAGGCAGCCTTTCATATCACATAACCTTACCAGGATGTAATACAACGTTATTACTACACTACTTCAGACATACAGAAATTTTAATATATAGGCACTGATGTTGGCTTCATGAAACAGAAAAGTGGTTGGTTTATGTAACGTTTCTACTATACTACCACATGGTATCAAAGGTTCTAAGATTTTTACAAAGCATTTCCAGACCTGTGTTCATTGGACCTACTTGACTCATACAGACATCCTGAAGCTTCCGTGTCATTAGTAAACCATCATTTAGAAACATCCTTGTCCTCCTCCCCCCAGACCAAAGAATTTTTCCACTTTCTCTTAGTTGGCACCAAGTTTTTTTTTTAATTTTGAGAATTTTAAGATAATGTCGTGTTATTGTAGCTGGCTCTTCATATTTTTCCAAATATTTAATATTGATAGAATTTGTTTACTGCACATTGATATTGTTTGGGTTCATTATCATATGCATATCAGCAGTAAACATCCAGGAGTTGTGTGATTTGACACTCAACAGGAATCACTTTACTAATACTAATTTACATGCTTATGATGTATTTCGTCTCAATAAACAAGACAGCCTCGTTGGGAATGCATTGGCTTTGCTGCATTCTATTCATCTACTTACATCTAATAAACACTAAGACATTGTGCTGTCTATTCTCTAACTGAACAGCACAGGGACTCCTTGAGTAGTCTATAATTATTCAGCTATGAACAACTGGCGTGTTCCTATCGGACTAAAATGTTAATTATACTTTTCACAAATGCCCGTCACTGAACTCTGTTATGAATCATCCAATATAGTTTTCACAGTCACAACTTATTTCTTCGGAATTCTGCGTGAATTGAATTATTACGGCTTTGTTGATCAGTGTGTAATGCGAGAAAGTTTAATTATGCTGAACTGGCACTGAGTTGCACTTTGAAATTCTCCCAGTGAACACCTAGCTGGACACTGAATACTGTACTATTGGAGCGAATTCAATGCAGGTGGAATAATGGGATCTGAATTATTGAAGGTTGAATTCCTTGTAAATGCTCTTTGTGATTCCTCCTGCACGAAATTGAAACCACAAGATGACGAACGGAGTGGAGAAATGGTACACAAAATAAAACAGGATTCGGAAGAATGGAGGGGGAACAGCTGAGGCGGAGAAATGTTTCTGGTGTTCATAGTTCGAAGAGAACCGTGTTTCTCGAGTGGTTGTTTGTGTTCCTTCAGAACTGCCTTCTCAGTTCAAAGTGATTTTTGGCCGGCTAATACTCCTCCGTTAGTATTCCATTGCGCTTCTACAGCGCGGCCTTCGATTGCGTTTCAGTTGACGTTAACTTCGTAGGTTTATTTTAATGGAATACGTAGGTATCCAGTGATGACGTGACCATAAATTCATTGTATCGGCTAGAGATAAAGACGGTTCTGTAGTTAAACTGCAGAAGAACTTAACGTAAGTTACGAATGAACAGTTGTGTGCTGGACACAGTACCACTAAGCGGCATCGAAAATTGGATATGTGAAACGATATTGACGATCTAATATAAACATATAATGTACTGATGAAATGTGCCGTTTGTTGATTCTTTCCTTGAACCTAACCACCGACCTCCAGCTACTGTAGTGTCAAGGTTAAGAATGCGTGGATCGTTACCTCAATTTCGTCAGTACGTCTTAAATGCATGGTGCTTGGACACACAGACAGCTAATTTTACTTTAGCTTGAAATATCGATTAAATCGAAGAGGCAATCTCCGCAGTGGCACAGGTTTTTCCGCAGTCCTTCCAAGCGAATGCCTGCTCAGTGCATTACTTTTACTAAAACTTCCCTAGCAGCTTCATCCCATTGATCTCACCCCATTTGACGGGAAGTGACCTCTATGTAGCATCGTTAAATACGAAGGTTGTTCGAAAAAAAACATTAATTACCTTGCATTATTACCTTATTGGTCTTGTATCGTGGTACTAGACTGGA